GCCCTAAAAGAGCTCGCTGGAAGACAGCCCTGCTGTCTAACATCTCTTCCTGTTTACTAAACTGCTCTTCAGCAACTGGAGTCTGCTTTAAGCGCAGCTAGAAGCGACTAAACCGCAGCACAATAGCAGTACTATACAGAGAACACTCTCACTTTAAACAAATTGTACCTAGAACGGCCTCTGGCCAAAGTCTTACATAGTCACTGACTGCAGATAGACTCTAATGGAATAATAATAATAATAATAATAATACACTTGGCGTTCTAGTAAGCCAAGGGACCCTACACCAAGCGCTAAGCACTCGACTTTTGTACATGCTGTATTTGTCTCACCTATCCGTGAACCCTATCTTAAGTTTGGGCTTCTTCCACGTCCTATCTCTGTTATTAAATCTTGATACTATTCTTATATACGAGGAAGAAAGAGGATCAAGTAAAGATATTCATGTTGAGTGTATTTCCTCGACGAGAGTAAAGACAAAATTACAAGTACAAGCAAAAACGGAGGAACGGACAGAGGCGGGAGGACCGGATGAAAGTGGGGTATTAGAGGGAGACGAGGGGTTAGGCGTAGAGGAAAGCCGAGAATCAGATTCTAGCTACTTATAAGTAAAGACTCGGGGTGTTCGGTAAAAGGTGAGCTATCATCAACCCAATTATATCTTGTCAACCATCTACCCATCCATATTCACATCAATCATGTACGACCATTTCAAAGTTACTGGAAAAAAAGTCATTGTTTCAGGCGGCGCGAGGGGGATTGGTGGCACTGTAGCCCGACACCTGGTAGCTGGAGGAGCCCACGTCGCTGTCTTCGATATCCTTGACGAGCCTGGACAGGCTCATGTCGCAAAACTGAACGAACAAGGCCCTGGAAAAGCCTTGTACTTCCATGTGGACACCTCAAAACGTGAAGAGGTGTTTGCAGCAGTTGCAAAGGCTGTAGATGCGCTTGGTGGCCTCGATTCACTCCACAACATTGCGGGAATTGATCTGCCGGTCCCAATTGCAGACATAACGGAAGCTGATGTTGATCTAACATTTAATGTCAACTTCAAAGGATCTTTATGGTTAGCACAAGCAGCCGTACCGTTCCTGCAAGCTTCTGGAGGCGGGACCATCCTCAACACCGGATCGGACTCTGCATTATTCCCCTTCCCAGACAGTTCACATTATTCGGCATCCAAGGGCGCTATCCACAGCCTTAACCGCTCCAAGTCTACAGCCTGGGCAAAATACAACATCCGAGTCAATGCCGTTATTCCTGCAGCGAAAACAGATATGTACTATGAGGCAATGGCTCTAAAGACGCCTGAAGAGCGAGCTGCAACATTGGCTTGGCAGAAAGCTTCTATTCCTCTTGGTGGAGAATTGGGACAAGCTGACGATGTTGCTCCTACTTGGGTCTTCTTAACATCGGACGCGGCAAAGTTCATTACAGGCCAGCTGATTTCAGTCAACGGAGGCTTGAGTACCGTGCGCTAATTACAACATGTCTACCACTCCCACAGGGTACATTACTGTAAAGGATTAGCCTTTGCCTACTCCTGATTGGTATAGGACTAGGGACGGACGCTATGAATACATAGAAGGGTCCTGCCCTTGGCTTACTACCACGTAATACAATACCTTTTGGCGCCTTATAGCTTCCTGATAGGGCTTTGACCATAAGTATCAAGGCACATGTATTGTATTGCGATTACAGGTCCTGGTATCTCACCGTTACCTACTATTGTGTACTCTACTGCGTTGTGAAATCATCACGCATAAAACAAACATGTGCCATTCTATCAATGCACCATGATACTCATACTGATTTCTCTTTACTGTGGACTTCTTTGAGGACTCTATTTGGATAGGCTAAAGTGTGCATATAATGACACAAAAGGTGCAGTGGAGTACGAAGCATTACTCATTACTCAGACACGCCATGGTTGCTGTGGATCCTCAACACGAGTCATGCAACTCATTGGGGTCTGGGGCAACCCCACCGTCTTGCATTCCTTCAAGGCCATCGCCCGGTCGGTCCTCTCAGCTCGCGCGTCGCCGAATTTCACCTCCACTCCCTTGCGCTGCATCCCCCCCCTGTCCACGAGAATCGGCCATGTATCATGTCGAAAGAAGGCGATCACCAATTGCCCGCTTGCCAGAAGTGTAGGCTGCGCAAGGTCAAGTGTGACAAGCAGGCGCCCAAATGCTCAAACTGCACCAAGGCCAACGTCGCCTGCATCGTTGTCGATCCAGCCACCGGAGAACAGTACGCACGTGACTATATTCGGCACTTGGAAGAGAAGGAACGTTGTCTGAGGCTGGGGCTGGGCGACGTCGACGACAGAGGCGCTCCAAGTACTTCAGCCTTGACCGAGACATCCGACGCTGTCGATGCTCCGTCAACAGGCCCGAGCACAGTCACGAGCTTGGGAGCCCAAAATGGCTTTGTCGGGCACGGTAGTGGATTGGGCTTCCTGCAAAATATTCTCTCCGACACCAAGTGGCAACCTCACCGCGGTCAAATTCTCGAACAGCTCGCGAGGCGCCCTCGGATTGCTAGACATCAAGCCGTGCCAAACGCCCTTCCACCGCTGGCACAGGCACAACAACTGCTCGACAACTATTTTGCTCGGTTTCACGTCCATCATGCTTTCCTGCTTCGCAGTGAAATGCTCGACATCATCAGCCGCGTCTACTCCATGTCGCCATCCGCTGGCGTTTGTGCCCAGGATTTCTTTCGTCTCTTCATGGTATTTGCCATCAGCGATACAACAAGGCATCGCGCTAGTCAAGGCGCTGATGTCAATGCCAACCACCCATATGGCTACTATCTTGCTGCTGAAAACTACCTGGCCAACACGCCCTTGATCAAGGACCCGGATGCCATCCAGAATCTATTGCTAGTGGCGAGGTTTGGCATGTATCATCATATAGGTGCCTCTATCTGGGAGATATCTCGTCTCTGCATGCGCCAGTGCATTGAATGGGGCCTCCATCTCGGAGCGCAAAAAGGTCTAAATCCATTGAAAGAGCAACATCAGCGACGGATATTCTGGGAGTGTTATGTGCATGATCGCTACAGTTCCGGGATTCTGGGTCGCCCTTTTGCTATTCTCGAGTCTGAAATCACCATGCCACTACCGATAGATGCCGGTGATGAGACCATCATCACAAGTGGAGCGGCTGGTCTTGAAAATGTTCCTATTACCACAAATACGCACCCGAGCGAGCTTTCAGTCAACCTGTTCTGCATTAAGCTGCGCCGAATAAGCTCTCGCATACATTCGGCGTTCTACAATGGCCGGAAGCCGGCATCATACAGTACTTTGGATGGTAGCCGAACGCCAGACTTCCGATCGATTGGCAATGTCTACTCTTCTTTTTCCCAGTTCCACGGCGAGCTTGATGCCTTGAGGATGTCAGCCCCAGTATTCTCAGCTCCTAGCTGTCTATACGAGCGTTCAGAGTGGCACGACTTCATGTATGAGAAAGACCGCCTTCTCCTTGCCCGTGGAGCCATGCACAACATTCCAGCACGGCAGTTTTCTGGTGCATCCATACTCAACGAAATCCCAAGAGCATGTTACCAGTCGGCAACCCGCGTCATAGAACTGTACGCCGATCTCCAAAACAAAAAAGCCATCACCTGGACACGGAGTTATTTCCAAGTCATCTTCACCGCTGGACTCACCATAATCTATTGTGCCATACTGGATGTGCTGAATGAACAGCGCGGATATCCAGGCATGGACATGAAAACTCTGCACGCGCTTGACACTTGCAGCTCCTTACTGGATTACTTCAAGGAAAAGATGCCCGATGCAGCGTCTTTCTCAACAGTCTTCAGCGTCATCAAAGCAGATTGCGTCAAGGATTGTTTTGCGCCTCTACCCTGGGCACCCAGCATGTCAAGTTACTTTGCTCCAAATAATCGACAGCAGCCACCAGATGATACTCTCGAACCACAGCTGGACCAAAGATACCCTTCAATAGTGGATTCACCACAGCACAGCGTAGACGCTACCAGAGGTCGGTATCTGCTACCAACTGATCAGCAGTTACAGCGAATTAATAGGCATCATCCATCACCATATGACTCCACGGGTATTCCAAGTGCCCAGCCCCCGCAAGATTTTGGCATAAGTCTTGCAGACAACATTATGAACCAGCTAGAATCTGGTCTGGGTGAGTACGCGTGGGGTTCGCTGGATACCGAAATCAATCTGTGGAATATGTTTGAGAATGATTAAACAGAACCACAAGCTGCGGATTGAAGACGTCGTCTATTGATTGTATATTCATGTAGCTACAAGGCCTGACTGGCTTTGATATAGTCATTCAATCGATCTATTGCAGCCATGGCGGTCTCCATTTGTATTTCTGCCGTCGCGGCTCCCACGTGCGGAGTGCTCACGACGCGTCCTGTTTCCCAAAGACTTGCATACTTCTCCTTGGTCGGCGGCTCCTGCTCATGGCAGTCAAGGCCCGCTTCCCAGATCAATCCTTCTCTCAAGGCACGTTCGAGGTCGGCCTCTTGCACGATGCCTCCTCGCGCCGCGTTGATCAAAATCGCATTGCGGCGCATCACCTTGAACTGTTCGTATGAGATGAGGCCGCGGGTCTGCGGCAAAAGAGGGACATGCAGTGTGAGGATATCCGAAGCCTCAAGGACTTGGTCGAGCGTCTCTGCTCGCGTGTGTGGAATATCGCTCCAAGCATCCTTGGGCAGCAGCGGGTCGTAGGCGACAATGCGGCAGTTCAGCCCGCCCTGAAAGATGCGTGCAACCTTTTGGCCAATGTTTCCCATGCCCACAATGCCGATCGTCTTGTTGTTGATGATCAACCCCCAGCACGTTTCTTTTGGTACTTTGATTCCGGCGCTCTGCAGCGCCGTGATGCGGCCCACTTCACGAGCCACGGACATTGTGAGCGCCAGCACCGTCTCGGCGACAGCTTGTGCGTTTACGCCCGGAGTGTTGAAGATCTTGATGCCGCGCGCTTGGCAGGCTTCAGCATCAATCTTGTCAATGCCAACACCCTGCTTTCCAATCGCTTTGAGCTTCTTACACGCGTCCACATCATCCTTGGTCAGGTATGAGCCGCGGATCACAAGGTATTCGGCTTTCTCTCTCCATTCCGAATGTCTGGGATCTGAAGGTAGTATGGCGTTGAACAGCGACTGGGCGTGCCTGATGGCTTGCGGGTGTAGTGTATCAAGCAGGTAGACAGTAGGCTTATTCGTTATATTTGGCGATGAGGAAGACACAATGGCTTCTCCCGCTTCGACAAGTGCTGGCGCCATGGTGGAGGCTGCAAGGAGAAGAGAATATACCCAGCCAAGATGAAGCTGCAATTCTCCAAGGAAAAGAGGCCTGCGGTGACACGTCTATATCTGCACAGACAGCTGAGTCTGTATCATGGCGAACAACACCCCCCCTCAGAATAACGTGCTTCTCCCGGCACGGCCCCGACGTCGGTGTCGCATCCCCAAGCCCGGGGGTTTGGAGAAATGCAAAGCTCGTCGGACATGGACCGAGCAGGTCCCACTCGTCGAGTATCTAGCTTCGGGCGCTGTCCGCCTCGCCCGACCCAAGTGCCGAAGCTCTCGTGACCGGGTTGGGTTGGCGTAACCCGCCATGCAGAGGATCCGAGATACTGCACAGTTGATGCGGCCCAGCTGAGCCTTCGATAGCAGGCGGCTTGTGTGTCTGTGGATGCCTCTGCCATGTCAACCAAGCCATGGTGCTCTTTGGTCCACATTGCTTTGGTCTGCCCGTAGACCCCCAAAAACCAGCCATTGTAACTGCGGGGATACAGTGATAGTAGAATCGTCGACCAGCTTCTCGAGATGCTCTCTTGTTGCCAGCCCGGACCGAAGTGCGACGAGGATAGCACGAAAGCCTCGAAAGGCTGTGTACCGCGCTGACAGCAATGTGAGACTGCTCAAGCATTGGAGCACGCACGTTTGCCGCAGTTCATTTGGTGCCTGTGATACAGCGAATATACCAATGGCGAATACCAGGTATCCTTCCAGTGCTCCGGGTGCAAGTTGCTGGTTAGTGAGCTGGTCCTCAATACGAGCCGCGTACTGAGCGAACTCGTCTTCAATGTGTTTATCCATCATGCTTCGGCCTGGATCAGTGGCAAATCTGGGGCACTTGAGGAGCTCAATCAGACCTCGGGCGTAAAGTTGGTCTTTTAAAAGACTGGCTGACGACAGTACTGCTGGTGCTGTTTCTCTCCAGTGACTCAGGTTCACAAAATGGCAAAGCGAGTCCTCCGTCTGCTTGCGAATCGAGCGCAAAATCTGCGCATGTCGAACGAGATGACGCAATGCCGCCTCATTGTCATCCAATTCTGCATTCTGCGGGGACGACGGTGGTGAGATCATGATGTCGCCGTCATTGAGACAGAATGGGCGGTCCAAAGCCGTACTTAGATGGGTATCCAGAATGTACAGCGTCCAGAATACCCGACTAGTCTTTCTTTTGACATGGCCGTCCAAATTAACGTCTGAAACGCGAGAGGTATGCATGCCTGAAGAGATGCAGCGTGTCATGGCGAGCCCAAGCAGATGCCACGAGGAACCGCCGTATGTTGTGTACAGTGAGTAGATGCTCAGAGTCGCAAGGCACTGCACAACGGCTAAATCTCCTGATTGATCGAATACGCGTGACATGAGTCGGAAGGCCCTTGTTGCTAGTTCTGATACTAGGACTTCGGTGAAGCTATAGTTTGGAGACAACAGTAAACCTAGCGCAGCGCCGATTGAGACAATGACAATCTTCTCTGGCGACTCTTCCATCATATGCTCAGCATCTCCATTGTGCTCACTAACGTTGACACTATCGTAATATTCTTCGAGTTCCCTAGGCGTCATCAATGGGAAGCAAGTCGGCGCCATTTCAAGAAAAGTTCTGAACGCTGCGGCAATCTGGACAGCGTCCAGCCCGCTCCCGTGGGAAAAAACTTGGTTGCGAAAATCTGCCATGGATCCACAGAGAGATGTGTTGGTTCCTATGGGCAGACTCGGATTTGTACCACCCAAACTTGTTGTAGCGAGAAACAAGGCTCGAAATGAAAGCCCTTGATTCGACAAGGACTGGCCATCCGTAGGTTCTGCCATTGCACTTAAACTGAGATAGCTGGCCTCGTGCATAGCATCTTGTAAGTTGCTTCCTGACCTCGTTTCGACTGCTGTTACACCATCACCAGGGCTCGGTCCATGGGGCGTATCGTGCTCGAAAAGGCTGCCGTTCTGATGGTGCGGTGATGAATGTTCGGCATCCAATCCATTTCTTGATGTGTCGGATGCATCGTTACTTTGGGCCTCCAGGTCGCGAACTCTGGCCTTCAAAGACTCAATGTACGAGATGGAAGCCGGGTTTGACATGTCAATCGTCGACCCAAAGCGGCGCTGCACACACTGTGACGAGGCGGCGATGCATTGCTGGCAAGTTGGTGTTTCGCGAGAACACTACACAGCATATCAATTCTATTTCCCATAGGATAAAGTTGCAAGTTGAGCCTGAAAGCGTTCGAGCTGTGTACCGGAGAAGCATTCATCTCAGAAGAGAGGTTGGGTAATGGACAAAGCAACCGTAATGTGAAGGGCACCTGATTGAGAGAGCGAAGGAAACGCGACGACCATACCTTTTGCTTCCTTCTCCAGCATCTTTCACAAGCCTGTTGTTGGAGAGTGGCCATGTTGGCAAGATGGTATGCGCGTTCGTAGGCACGAATCGGAGCAGGAGCTCAGATTGATGGGGCGACCGAGGCACGAGATCTGACGCGCTATCTCGGAGCGGACCAGACATTCAACTTTTATTCGAGGTGTTGAACTCGACAAGACCGAGACTTATATATCCACTGCAATCACTATTTGCGAGCTATGCGTTGTAAGAATAGAGTCGCCTCGGATGCCTCGTGACATGATGGGTAACTTCATGGCCTGACATCTGCTTCCCATGACCGCTCGACAGCCATTTCTATAAGCCAGATCATCAAAACCTCTTCAGTATGGTTCTTCTTCTTAAAATCCAAAGTTGGGCGCGTCCTTGTTTTTCGGCTTTGACGAGCTGAGCCAGGCGACCCTTCGCAATACATAGTGGCAAGCCGAACATCTTACACACGCCACAAAGTAATCGTTCATGACTTCTGCAAAGCCCAAAGGCCATACATTCTCGCAGCTGTGAGAGGAAAAGATCTCTCTCTACAAGTATTTGAAATTGTTTACCACAGTGACATGTCTACTAGCAGAGCCGACATGATAGAGGTGGCAGTGAGCACATCGAAAACAAAACTCTATTTGACATGAGACACCAGAATGAAAATGGTTCTACGGCACCGTTCTTTGGCCGCGACAGCTGGGTGCGTTGGAGACATAAGATATGACCTCATCCTTCACCCTCGTGGCTGACAGCAACGGCCCCTCGTATCTTCGCGCTGACTTTCTGTCTCACTCATGGGGTGAAAACCCCACGAAAGGTATGAGTCTTTGTAGTACTGCACATGAGACATACGCTTAGCAACAGCGTTCATGAAACATGGCATCAGCCCTGCTGAAAGACATGTTGAAACAAAACACTAAACTAGATTCCCAAGATGGCGCTATCATCATGATGCCGAAATGTAAGTCGGCAGTTGAATTTGGGTGGCGGACACCCTCGGTCTATGGTGTGCATAGGCCTGACAGGGCTGGACTTGATGTTTTACTCTTGCGGTCCTGCCCGAAATTGCGCCGATGGATTGGATTTGGAAGACCCGGGATCGCAGTGTATTCCAGAAAGCCGCTGAAACAACATATGGCATGGATCAGATTGTGGTCTTTGCTCTGGCTCATGTGGGGAGTTGGCGGTGATAGTGCAGATGGGGTCCACCGAGAAAAACACAGTATCCGCAGGCTGAAGACAACTGCATTGTGGAGGATGTGGAGGATGTGGAGGATCGAGTGCATTGTGCGCTAGAGAATCAGCTCGGCCTACTACCGATGAAAGCTTGATTAAAGGATCATCATTGCGGAAGACAATGGCATATTAGCCACTTTGGTCCAAGTGGCTCCATACACGTGAAACTAAATTGTAATTGGATTCCATCATTTTCAGGCAAAATCATCCTTGTGAACTCAGAGCGTCTATTTAATTTAATATCACTTTTATTCATTTGGTATGGATCATACATTCAATATCTTTATTTCATATTTTCCACACGTCTGTGATCACGAATTATTGTTAAGAGACTACAGTGCAGTAATATCAGCATATTGTCACATGATATGTATTTGATTCAGCACCATCGTCTAGTGTAGCCTTGGCAGTGTCTTCGTGTATGGCAAAAGTTTTCAAATACATCCAGAGCTGCGAGATAATACGGACTACAATGCCCGAGTATCGAAGCATGAATTCTAAATATGTGTCAACCTTTGCCCAAGCATTTTCTTCGGTCTTTGATGATTGCCAAGTTCTGCTTGTGGTTAGAAGAAGGTCACAAAGTCTATATCATAAGAATATTATATACAAGATCAAATAATCATGAGCTTACGACTCCGTTTGCATGACCATTTGTCTTCAGATCTTCCATAGCCACGCTAGCCTTTTGCTTCAACTCATCAATGGTGCCGTTGGTCGTCTTGGTCTCATGTGTCCCATTCTGTGTAGTCTTTGTAGACTCCTTGACACGTGCGCTTAATTGGGCCATCTCACCCGCCCTCTTGGTTGCACCACCAAGCAGCAATGGTCCATCCGTGGCTGCCATGACCCATCGAGCGCCCATTGCACAAAACTTCTCAACCAAATCCAAACGAGAATGCAGGCCTCCCACACCAACCCATTTTCCGTGCTTTTGGCAGGCCGCAATTGTTTTCTCGTAAACTTCGGTCAGCCGCGGGTTTTCGTATTCCCCGGGGATACCGAGTTCAGCACACATATCGTTGGTGCCAATCAGCAGGCTATCCACTCCTTCGACGGCCGCCAACTCCTCGACACAATCGACTGCTTCGATGGTTTCCACCATGGGAATGACGAGTGTTTCACGGTTGCATACAGGGCTCATGGCCTTGGCAGACAGGTGACGGTATTGGAATTGTGGCATGTTGTTAGTGGATGAGCGATGGCCAAGAGGCTGGAATTTGGCTGCGGCGACTACGTCTTTGGCATCTTGCACCGAGCGGATATGCGGGACTATGACACCCATCGCGCCGCCATCTAGTACGCGGGAGACAAAAAATGGGTCTTTAGATGGGACGCGCACAATAGGAGATATGCCGGCGTAAAGGGCTGCTATGCATATTTGACCTGGGCTACGTTAGTCTGCTACGTGAAGAAACAAGTTTGTGAGGAGAGACAAACTTGTTGTGTCCAAGTCAAACGTCGAATGCTCCATGTCAATCAAGATTCCATCAAATCCCGCTATCTTTGCCATCATTGGAAGCTCGACACTGCGGACCAGCTTAACAGAGAGAGTGTATGCTACCTCATCGCGAAGCATCTTCTCGCGGATTGAATTGTGAAGCGCTAACTCGGCCATGTTTGTAGTGTCGTGGATGTGTAATGCTGCTAGGGTGGTGGTGAATGGAGCAAATTAATAACAATTTACAATGAGGTGTAGCAGAAAAATTTGGTTTTGGGAGTGAATTGGGAAAAAGATCATGGTATTAGAAGTAAAAATAACCCTAGGGAATATATACGTAAAGATGGAGTCGGAAGAAAGTTATTCCAGGCTATCAGAGGCTCCCGTGAGCTTCCGGTAAGCCTGCATCGATCACAGCTTCTGCGACAGGATGGCAGTGGACATCAACAAATTCCGTTGAATTTTACAATGCAAGAGGCTGTAAAACAAGCGGCTGATAAGCGGCACTCCCGATGGCAAACAATCATCGGAGCGACACCGAGGCGCGGAACGTTGGCGTTTTGACTGGAGACTGCATGTCTTGGGATGTTGATGCAATCCGGGTTAAAGTGGAGTAGTGTAGTACCATACTGCTGCCCCCTGCGTGGAGTTCAGTGAGTAGTGTCGGGTAACCACCGACGCGCAACCCTCTGTTCGGACCCTCCACCGACATGAAATGCATGTGTCGGGTCATGGCCACCCACGCGCACCCCGCGAAATCCATGGGCCAAGAATCCGGGGCAGACATGTGCGCCCTTAACCTTCCCCGCATCCTCATAATTGGGTATGTCGGTCGTGAACGCTTGGCGCCACGCCCAGGCTGGGGAAAAGACCTACGCCACGCATTGGCACGTCTTCACTGAGTTGAGACCTGGCAAACAATAGGCGGCATTGCGGACTGACCAGATATAAAAAGCGTATGAGGCTTCAAAGCACCATGGCCTAGCACCACCTGGCCCTACTATCTCCTCCCATTTTTGCCATCTTTTTTTCCAGCCCCCATCGCCGCGGTTATGACTATCGACGAAAAAACGCCGAAGCAAAGCTGCGAAGTCGTCAAGGTCGAAGATGCTGGACTCTCCGAGGCCGATGTGTTTCTCCAGAGCTACCCGCTGCTGCGGGATAAGTCGAAAGATGAACTTGACAGGCTGAACAAGGCCGTTTTGAAGAAGCTGGATTGGAAGTTTCTTGTCATGATCACGTTGATGTTGTTGATGAAGTACGAACCGCTGTGTGTTGTTCAAGAGCACACGGACACTGACGTTTTTGCAGCTATCTCGACCGCATCAATGTCTCCAACGCTCGACTCGCTGGCATGCAACGGGATATGCACATGACCGACGTGGAATGGTCTGCTGGTATATCGCTTTTCTATGTCGGATACATCATCTCGCAGATTCCCGCCAACGTTATCATGGCCAAGCAGAAACCGCGCATCTGGATGCCGTGCATCATGCTTGCATGGTCAGCCGTTACAATCTGTATGCCAGCGTGCACCCGGCCATGGCACTTCATGCTATGCCGCTTCCTGGTAGGCTTCACAGAGGGTCCGTTCCTCCCCGTAGTGGCCCTTATGACGTCCAGCTGGTACACCAAACAAGAGAGTCCCTTGCGCATGGGCATCTGGCATGCCGGAAACATTGTCTCAAATGTGTTTTCTGGTTTACTTGCGGCAGCTGTCCTGACCAACATGGACAACATTGCAGGGCTACATTCGTGGCAATGGTTCCTCCTCCTTGAGGGAATTGTATCCATTATGGTTGCTATTCCCGGCTTCTGGTTGCTTCCGAACTTCCCTAACAACACTGGAACATACTACTTTAGCCCCGAAGAGCAGCAGATGGCGCAGTATCGGCAAGCGGTATCTTCTGGCAGTGCAACCGAGGACGATGAGGGCGACTACCTGGGCGGGTTGTGGCAAGCCGTACGAGATCCATTTACGTGGTTGTTTGCGGGGATTCATTTCTCGCTCATAATCGCGCAGTCATTCAAGGACTTTTACCCGTCCATCATGGATACTCTGGGATTTAGCAAAGTCGAAACGTACCTGGTTCAGGCTCCGCCATATGTCATAGCATACTTGGTCACGCTGGCTGTATCATGGTCCTCTGGGCGCATGCTCGAGCACGGATACCACATCATTGGCGCTATCTCGACCACTCTGGTCGGAGCCGTCATCATGATTAGCACTCTCAACACTGGCGCGCGGTACTTTTCGATGATTCTGCTCTGCTGCGGTCCGTTTGTGGGCCTCAACATCCAGCTGTCCTGGGAAACTACAGTCGTACCTCGGCCGCGCACCAAGAGAGCAGCGCTTATTGCCATTGCCAATTGCGTGTCGAGCGTTAGCCATTGGTTCACACCGTATTTCTTTCTGAGAAACCAGGAGCCACGCTACGAGACGGGAGGCGGTTGCATCATTGCCGGGTGTGGCTTGACAATCGTACTGTGTGTAGCGACAAAGTGGTATTGCGGTAAGAAGAACAAGGCTTTGGATGCCGAGGAGGAGCGTACGGGAACTGCCAGTAGCTGGAGGTATGCGTCGTAGGCCATTTCTTGGCGAGCGTCATACTGCGGTCCTTCATTGTCCTAGTTGCAATCAGCAAAGCGTCTATTTCTGGGATGGCATAGCCACAGTCAGCAGGCTTTGCACGTTTCAGATGATTATGAAGAGGACGTATGTGCAATGCAGCCGCGAAACGAAACGACGTGAGACGGCTGTAAGTGGCTCTTGAATATTCGAACCGCCAGGATGCGATGGAGTAATATCAATGTGACCGATGTGGCATCGTTAGCCCGCATGACGTCTTGATGACGTTGGTCAATAGTGGTTGGCAGTTATGCTGTGTTATGAAAGTTATGAAGGTTGTGGTGTGTTGGTTGTGTACGTCTTCGGCTTTAGTAGTGGTTTGTATTATTATTATTATTATTATTCTAGTTTAACGTCCTTTTTTAGCCTAAAAGGCTATATAAGACGTGTAGGGTTTTTAGGCCTATAAGTATCTAAGTAGGTTGTTTCTAGCTACAATATTTAGGAGGGGTTTTAACTAGATAAAGGTGAGGCTCGTAGCCTATTAGTTGGTAGGTAGGGGGTGGGATAGGGTGGGGGAGGTGTATGGCTACCTGTTACAGGTATTACTCCTCGTTTTCTGTGTTTCCCTTGTACCAGGCTTGTGTTCTAGCCTTTGTTTCTTAAATAAAGGTAATAGTTGCTTCTATACCCTTTTTTGTTTAAAAGAGGATAGGTAGTAATAGATCGCCTTCGCAGGCTTCTCTTAGTCCTTTCCTTCCCTCTCTATATAGATTACATCTAAATAGAATATAAGGTAGGTCTTGTATAGACCTATAGTTGCAGGGGCAACTATTAGAATCCACTTTCCCTCTCTTATATAGGTAGTCCCTTAGGTAACAGTGTGTAAGGGGCTGCGCTCCGGGGAGCAATCGCGAGGTATACAAGAGGTTGTATTCGATAGAGAGCTATAGAGTCTACTTGCGTGGTGTTTATTTAC